CACACACCACTCTGCCTTGTACCATCGCCAGCTCCCAGGAACAGGGTGGGAGGGGAGTTTGCACGTGGCAGCTGCCACCACCCAGAAGCAAGCAACATGCCCTGCTCCCTGCCTCCTTCTACACCACCTCCCCCTCTCTGCCTGCTGTTGTTGGGGCTGGGCAGCAGCAGTGCAGGGGGGGGAAAAACAGGACACAATGGCAGCAGGGGGCACTGCCACTGGAAGCCCCCCTTCCCCTCCCCATCTCATTCCCACCCCCCCAGCTGGCTGTCGTTGGGGTAGGGGAGGAGAGGAAGAAGTGGCTCAGTGGCTCCCTCTGTCCATAACGCTCTGGGGCCTCGCAGCCAATCAGCACACACCCTCTCAGCAGCCCAAGTGCAGTTGGCCCAGCATGTTACAGACAGACAGACAGACCAAGGCTTTTATTATATCAGAATTACTAAACTAAGCAGCAGGCTATTTGTACATTTAGTTCACTGGGGGTTAGATGGCTAGCTATGAAGTTGTCCCAACTAAATGTGAACACTGATTTTGTTTTCTTGCAAAACTTGTGGTGTGCTACAAACATATACTGAATAAATTAAGTGTGGAGGAGGCATCTGTGGATAAGAAAGATGGGACATACAACAGCTAAGTATTCAATTGCATTTCCACTACAAAGAGTGACCAACAGGCCACTGAGTGTTTCCATGCTTAAATGAGTAGCTTCCAGATCAAGTGTACTCAGTTTATAAGAATTACATTACATGAGCATTGCAAAAAAAAAAGTCAACTTTAGACTGAAACTCAAGTTCATTTTTTCTGATTTACACCATTACAGACCAAATCTTGTTTTTAAGTATACCCATTCAACCCTGCTGAAAAGAGTAAGTTTGCACAGATATGAAGAGGGCAGTAATACTGCTGCTTGTAACAATAAAGTAAAACTTTCCCAGACAGCTGTTCAGCTCGCTGGGGATAAATAAGAACAAAACTTGCTGACAATGCAGCCAGATACGATTGTCGATTACGTTGGTTTCCCTTTACTTTTCAAAAAAAGAGCATGCTAGGTGCTTGGAACTTTGTTAAAGCGCATTAGCACAGGACAACACAAGCATTTTTTCAAATTGATCACACCTGGCAACTAACAAAAGAATTTCAGCATATTCACTCATACTATGTTGCAGACCCAGAGTAGCACTTACATTCTCCAGCCAATTGCCAAAAGTTCAGATTGTCATCTAAATATAGTAGATGCCAGGATTTGTTATGTAGGTCAAGGAATATTTTATGATAATCAAATAAATAATTAAAGAGTTAGAAAACAAGTCACAAGGAACTAGGAACAGTTATGGAACACCTCTCCCTAGCAGATTCAAAGTTCTAGGAGTCTCCTCACTGACTTTCAGCTGATAAAAGAAAACAAAACAGAGTAAAAACTAAGATAAACCCAACTGTTCCTTCCCCTTATCTACCTTCAAAATTTAAACCAGCAAACCACCTTGAACTTGGAGCCAGACTGAAAAAACAACACTAAGTAGGACCATCCTCTCATTCCAAAAATGTAAATGCTAAAAAGTAAACTATTTTACTTCTATGTGACCTGGGGAACTAAACCCATGTCTCACATAGCAGACAATATGCTAGTCCTCATGAAATAATTAGGAGTGGAGAGCACTGGAGGCAAACAGACCTAAACTATGGAAGCAGCACTTTCCAATGCCAGTATGTACAAGTCTGCAAGAATGGGAGAATGCAAAAGAGAGAGCCATTAAAATCTAGGAGGGGATGATGGGGGCGATGTTTCTTGATAGAAAATTACTAATGCTCAGAGGTGACAAAAATACTAGAAAAGAGAAACTGTCCACGTCTTCTCTATATAATTCAAGTTTCTTCAGTATAATTTTTCCAAAATGCGAGTACACATGTCTAATGAAGCTTTACTACATAGCAGCAACTTCTTCCCAGGGTAGTCCTTTGCCACCACAAGACCCGAATCTGAAATTAGTTTAACTAGGCACATATTCTCTAATTCTTTAAGAGATGTTTTAATTATTGTTTCAAGTTACATTTAAACATCTTAAATTAAGCCACTTGATAAATGGAGCCCTGACAGACATGGGACAGAAAGCAGAACTCTAGAAAAGTCAGCCCAAAGTTTAGATTATCTGAAGTAAACCTTAGAGCAAATAAGTGCAAAACAGCATGATTTAAGCTATATTAAGTAGTTATAGAAATTATTACTTTTTTAGCATTTCTTCCTTCTTTTTATACTGGTCACTTCCTTTTTCAAATGGAAAACCGCTGAACTGACCCACATTCTTCTTTAGTGAGGCAACCTAGAACAGAATACATTGATTACTTCTCACTGCAAACAGTTCAGTAGATTATATCCAGCTACACTTATTCAGTAACTTTTCATTTAAGAAACACAGTTCTAATATTCCAGGTCACTTGAGCAGTGGAAAACCATACACTAAAGTGTTTTGGAAACATGACTTTCAGCTACATGATGACAATAAAACCCTTGTTTATCTTACGACCAGCAGGCTACAGCAACTCACTCTCTTGTACAATTTTTCCCCACTGGGTTACCAGTGAACTGTAAACAACAGAAAGCAACTCATGGGTTTGAGCTACTGTGATGACATAAAATAATCTGTTTTCTACTCTTTGCAATGCTATTTAGCAAGCAAATTCAATTTAAACTATCCTTATTTGTTTCCAAATCTCTGAATGGGACTAGCCCATCACTGCCACAATTACCACCCTGTCTAGACACGCCACAGCTGTCATTCCATGCCAAATCTGGCCCAGGCATGGGGCAAGTTCAACATCCCTGAACATACTGCTTGGTTCAACACAGAATTAAACAAGTGCAATTCTATGGCTATGATACAAAGGTGGCCAGAGTAGCTGATTTAATTGTCCCTTTTATCTGTGAAATTTATTGCATTCCATGTAGTGATTGCAAACCTAGTACTCTGAGCCTTTTGTTTGTGCCCAAAGGTCAGAAATTTTCTAGTGTAGTTTATTGTCCAATTATGCAAGTCACATAAATAAGAAAAAAGTGATTTTGGACTTCATTATTCTGCCTTGAACTAAAGCTAATGCTAATTCAAGGAAGCTTTAAAAAATATGAAATTTCTAGGTTGACATTTTCTTTAACCTTTCTGTAGAAATACTGAGAACACTATGCTGTTGGAAAATTATGATTCTAGATTTCAGATGTCAAGGTAGTGGCCTTGGCAAGTCAGAATTGCCAAGAAAAAAGGTCAATTGAAACACAATTTTAAAATAAGATCTTGATTTGTTAGTGCTAGAAATGGACTTTTTAAAAATAAAAAAAAGTTACAGTATACTTCTTTATAAAGAGACCTAAGCTTTCACTAGGAAAAAAGCATACATTTGTAAGTATACCAGATGAGCCCTATTATTACACAAAAGATTGATTTTTGAGGAGTGTTCTTACTGTGCCTGGCCTGTTGTAAAGGAGTTTGTGTAGATTTCTGAGTTCATCAGTTTTCTTCTTACTCAAAAAGAACTGTATCCTTTCAATTTCACAAAGTTTTTGTCCCTTTCCTGAAAGAGTTTAAAGAAGTTATTTCCTGCATCTCATTAATTCTTGGAAGCAATACCCTGTTTTATTGCTTGAAGCATCTAATTATTTTACAAATACAAGGAGTATTTATAATTAAACTATTTTAAAGCAGATGGGTAGAACTTTTACTAACCAAACGCTGCATAATGTAATATACAGTAAGCAGGCAGTCATTTACTAATTACATTAAAATTTGCTAGCCACGTTTAACTATTCTTTTGTTACCTGCAACTATTACACCCTGGGGAATTATGCAGTGATGCGCCTGCACAATTTTGCACATAAAAGGCATGACCACACATAATTGCATAATTTTGCATAACTTAACTGCAGCTGGCTCTGTGCCTCCACCTGCATGATGTGTAGGCACAGAGCGACAAAACTGGACAGCTGGATAAGTGGTGAAAGGAGTTCCTAACTTCAGGAGCGGGGGGGTGGACAAAGGTGTGTGTATGGGGTTTGTGGGTGGGTGAGGGCCATGCACCATTGGGCTGGGCCGGCTGGACCCATACGCTCAGTGCCTCCATGTGGGACTCTAGCGGGAAGCCACATGTAGAGGCATGGGGCCTGCCCAGCCCAGTGGCACACTACTCCATGCCTCCATGCGTGGCTTCCCACTGGCGTACTGGAAACCCCACATCAAGGGCCAGCCCAGCCCAATGGCGTGTGGACTTGAAGCCACATGCCATCAGGCCCCTGCTTCCACATGCAGCTTCCTGCTGGAACATCCATGTGGAGGCACAGAGCCCACCAGGCACAATGGTGTGAGGCTCCCAGGCCATATGCCATTAAGCCAGGCTGGCCGGCTCCATGCCTCCACATGGAGTTTTCAGCACTCCAGCAGCAAAGTGCCAGTGGAGGCACAGAGCTCACCTGGTCTGATGGCATGCAGCTTCCACCTGCAGTGCTGCGAGCCCCACGTGTTGGCATGGAGCCAGCCTGGTCTAGTTTGAAGGTGCGTGCCAGTGGGCTGGGCCAGCTCCGTGCCAGTATGTGCAGGCCCCAGGACCTCTGCCTGCTATGGCCATGAGTGCCTGGAGGACCTACTGCTGTGCACCATGGGGTGGAGTGGGTGGAAAGGCCATATCCACGTACAACCCCCCTCTCCCCATACCCCCCCTTCACAAGCCCCCGACAAACCTCACCCCCACCCTCCATCCACCCCCCAACCATGTAAAGTACCCACATATATTTCTAAACTAAGTAACACTATTTGAACATTTTTTAATCTGTAAAAAAAAAAAAAAAAAAAATTAAAAAAAAAATTTTTCAATAATTTTGATTTTTTCTGTGCATAATTCACTGGGGTGTTTACTATGTCCAGATGAGGGCTACAAACTTATTTATTTTATTCCAATTCATTTTGCCTTTGTTAATGGGGATTGTTACATTCTTACTCTAACTTTTTTCAAGAATTTCAACATTCTAAACAGACTTACAAGTCAAGAGATTCCTATGTAATTGTCACAGCTAGAATCTATCTAAACAAGAATTACTTTAAGACCTACATTGCCTGTTAAATATCTTGAAACTGACATCAATTATAAATACTTTATCAATCAGATGCAATTTAAGAGATGTCATTACTAGTCACAGTGTTCTTAGTTTTAAAATGAGTGGGCAAACTTGCCTGGTGTAATTGTAAAAGGTTCCCTTTGTAACGAGGATACCTGCATGGTCAGTCTGTCCACTTTCTTCTTCTCTCTTTTTCCCTCAACAATAAGACTTTTTTCTGCAAAATACAGTGTCATAAGCATAACATTTTCCCTATAAAAACACGTTCCTTTGTTACCATATGGAGAGAATTCCAAGATATCACAAGGTAGGTACCTTAACATGCATTAAAAACACCCAGATAGCTTTAGTTCACAATATATTAACATTTTAATATTTAAGTAGAAGAATTACAAATACACAATTTATTTAAGCAAGGACAACAATGGTTAACATATGAAGCCATGCCTCCTGAAAACTGAAGTAAACAAAATACATTGATTCTTATCATTATAATCTTATTTAATTTTAAATTGTGACCTCACTACCTGGCACCCCTTCTTGGGATATGGGGCAACCACAAGTATTTTATACTGTAAAAGCAATAATAAACTTCCCTTTCCTGCCCTAGCTCCAGTCTTAACCATGCCCTTTCCATTAACACCTATCACTGTTTCAGTATTCCAGTACACTTAAGTCAGTAATGCTCAGACCATGGCTCCCAAGCCACAAGTTGGTCTTCAATTTAATCACCTGGGGCACATGCAGACAAGCATGGTTGTGCAGCATGTGGCACCGCAAACATGTACGCATCACCACATACCACACAGTCCAGCATTCTCAGCACTGCAAGGGCATGCTGTCCAAGCATGCACTGCTGTTTTTTTTTCCCCCCATGGTTTTTTTTTTGACCCCTATATCCAGGGGTCAAAAACAACAAGCCAAACAAACCATGGAAAGAGCAGCATGCACTGCTGAAAAGCAGAGCCAGGCCACACAGAGCCATGCTGTGGCTGCTACCCAGGCTCCGCCCAGCAAGATCACCACAGCTGTAGCCTTGGGAGGCCTGTAGGATCCCAGGTAAGGCTGCTGGGG